AGTTAAGTTTCAAAAATCCCCATCAGAACTAAGTTTCCAAACTCCCAATCCCCAGCGGAGCCAGAAAACTTTAAACTGCAAACCTTCAGTGAAGATGAAACTTTCTTCCCCAACAGAGTCCAAAACTTCAACCCTTAAACCCCGGTGGAAGACCATCCAGTTTCCTCCAATTCCCCAGTAGAGATCGTCAGAGTTTTCCTTATTCCCCAGGAAAATCATGAAGGATTCTCACATCCCCACAGAAGTTGTCAAAGTTCTTGTTAATCCCCACAAGTCACCAAGGATTTTCAATCCCCAACAGTGGTCCAAGGATTTCTCATTCTCAGCAATCAAAGATCTTGAATCAACAGCAGCAGTCAAAGATTTCATTATCTCCAGCTATCAAGGATTTATTTTCCTCAGCAAGACAGCTAATCAGCTTACATGCGCATACATTACATTCATATATCATAAACATTAATAAAGCACATTTTATTGCGTCATACATATCATGCAACATAACTTTGTGTTTTAGCTAACATTTTACCCTTTTCAGGATAAGATTAAAAGCTACCTTTAACAAATGTTCAAAGATTTCAGATACAGTATGGATACACCCCAGACATGGCGGTCATTCTATTACTCATTTAGAATTTCAAGTCAAGATACAGTATGGATACACCCCAGACGCGGTGGTCATTCTACTACTCATTCAGACTTCAGAAATCAGATACAGACTAGATACGCTCCAGACACGGAAGCCATTATATTTCTCATTCAGATTCAACTATTAACTTCAAATTCAGATACACTCCAGACACGGAAGTCATTCTGTCACTTGTCCAGATCCCAATTACAGTACGGATACACTCCAGACATGGAAGTCATTCTGCTACTCATACAGATCTCAACTTCAGATACAGTCCAGATACGCACCAGACACGGTTTCCATTCTATTACTCATTCGAAATTTATCCCCAGCCCAGAAATGCTCTATACACTGATGTTTTTCTGTCGCCCATTCAGAATTCAGATACAATACAGATACACTCCAGACACGGCAGTCATTCTGATATTCATTCAAGAGTCAAATACAGTTACAGCTCGGATACGCTCTAGACACGGACGTCATTCCTTTGCTCATACGAATCCAATCTCCAGATACAACTCAGATACGTTCCAAATACGGATACCAATCTGGTGTTCATTCTCCTGATTTTTAGCAAACAAATCTTGGATGGCATCTTTAAGCCCATCTCCAACAAGATTCTACCATCTCCAAATGGCATCTTTAAGCCCATTCCCTCAGCTACATTTTGACGAGTGCAAATTTACGGGCACTCTAGTGTCCAATCATCTTTTACCTTCGAGTCACGAAAGGCAAACTCGCCAATCTAACTCTTCAGGTTCAAGAAGATTTAACAGGGGCAGTTGTTGTACCCCAAAATTTTCCCTCTCATTTTATCAAGTTTCCCCTCACAAGACTCTTTGAACTCCAGACAGGATTAGGGTTTTGCTCTGCTCAAGACATCTCCTTGCACTGATGACCTAAATTAGGGTTTGAGTTTGCACATGTATTTTTGGACTTTCAATGCTCAAAGTGACTTTCATACTTCATGTTGGACTTATAAGGTTTCCCCTACCAAGTTTCAAGCTTTAAATCAAATTTTTGCTCAGTCAATTGGACAGTTGACCTAGAAATCAACTATATTGAGGAAAAAGTCAATTATGGTCAATTTACAGTCAAACCTCACAATTTTTGATCCACATCAACATTATAAACTCATATGAACCATTTGATCAAGTTTGGACCACAACTCCTCAAGAAATTTGATCAGATCATCAAAAGGGCAAAATGGTCATTTTTAGGGTTTTGACTGCACAAGGGCAATTTCTGATTTTTAACCTAGTCAATGGAAAATTGGGTTCAAGAATGGATTCAAGGACTCAATGACATCATCTTGACCTATTCACAAGATTCAAAAGATCTCAATTGCATTGGATTGACAGATGAATTTTTCAGTCAATTGATCAAAATTTGACTGTACACTGAAAAGTTAAACTTTGACTTTTTGGTCAAAATCAAGATCCAAGGGTCATTTTTCATCAAGATGTGTCAAAACATGAAACTTGTTCATCAAGAAACCTAATTTTGCAAATTAGGGTTTAAGATTGAAAATTTTCATAACTTAGAATTTTCTAAGTTATGAAATTTTCTTAATTTTTCCCAACTTTGCCCAACATTTTTATCATGATTTGTGTGTATATTGACCAAATTCAGCATGATGACATCGACTGGATGTCATACACTTCTCACTGGGATAGAATTTTGTTCGACTGAATTTCATTATACTCTAGATGGCTGGCATGTGGGAGTAATATCATGTGCATGTACCTACCAGAGCAGTGCATGCGACAGTTTAGGTACGTACAAATCATTCCACGGTCCCCCTTCAAGGTTGTTCCTGAGACCATTGTCCACAGACATCTGAATGACATTCTGGCAGATTTTAAGAGTCATATGGTACCGGAGGATTATCGGAGGATGGAAGCCACAAATTAGTGGTTTTATGTGGACGGTTATGTGACTTGGTTATATTATGTGTCACACTCTATCATGACATCAGACGCTCTTGAACGTCCACCTAGATCTGCTCATGAGGAGATCTTAGAGAATGAGCAGGCAATGGATGATCATGTCATTGATATGTTGTCGGTCTGTTAGAATGTTACGCAGATGACAGGAGAGGGCATAGAGTCTGGAATATTTTGTAAGTATGGAATGCACCTAAGAGGGAGTGAATTAAGTACTTTGAATCTTTTCTGGTTTTAGAGTTAAGTGTTGTTATTTTTCTAGTTTAAGATCAAGTGATGAAAGCAGTAAGTGCAGAAAAATAAAGAACATTGGGATTATACTAGTTCCTCTCACAGTCTGATAGTATGTCTAGTCCCCTTACAACATGTAAGAGATTTCAATAATTGTTAAAACTTGTACAAGCCTAATCATAGACTTCTAGACACAAGCTTCTAACCAATAACTAAGGCAAAACACCTTATAATTCAACCAAGTTGAAAAGAGAACAATCATTTTTAACTCTCTTACTTCCAACAATCATAGACAGCAACGTATACAAACTAATCCTGGAAATATAATAAGAAATTTGAAGATGATAGATGTATATCAATTATAAGAATTGATCTTCTTATTCAAGTGTACAATTCACACTATAGTATATAAGTGTTCATTATGATGCTAAAACTTTCAGGAATTCAATGACAATGTATGCAGTAAGTTTCAAACAAAGATTAAGACACAAGGCACTTGTTTTGAAAATGAGAGAAATAATGAATTTGAATTGTATTGAAAAGAGGTGAGTTTTTAAAATCTGAAACATACGATATTTATGAGTATCATACCATTTTGAATAAGTGTATTATGATCAATCAATGCAATGTTTGATGCTATAAAAAGAAATAAAATAAGTTTGAATCAGATTTTTCATGAAAAAATATCACTGTTTTGTGATAACCGATTAACACCTTATCGTAATCAGTTACACCTGAAGCGTTACCTGAAAATTTAAATTTTCGTATGTGTAATCGATTAACTAAAAGATATAACCGGTTAAACATGTTCAAAATTGCCAAAAAAACAGATTTATTGATTCATGTAACCGGTTAACAAAAATGTGTAACTGATTATCACTATTATAAAATTGAAAAATACTTATGAAAATAGGTTGAATGCAGGACCATGGTATTTCAAAAGGAGTTGTGCATATATATGAATTTGTTAAAGAGTTTCTGAGCACATATAGTTCAAAAGGAGTTATGCATATGTATATGTATGAACTTGTTAAATAGTTTTTGAGCACATATAGTATATCATAACTTGAATTATAGTTTGTACCTAGAGTATATCATAACTTGAATTATACTTTGTACCTATCAAATGAAGATCAATGTTCCAAAGTTCATCTTGATAAAGTTGCTTATGATACAAGTTTTGATCTATGACTCTTTTGTCATGATTCTTTTGCTCATCCTTTCTTAATATATACACGTTCCATTCTTACCGAAGCACGAAATACCTTAGATTACCGTAGGCAACGGAGAAATTGGGATATTATGGTTAGACATACTCCTTAAATTATACATTTGATTATATTTTGGAATGTTTTGATCTTTTTTTCTTCATATTTTGAGAATATTTTTTATACTAAAATTGTCTCTCTTTTTAATTAACACATTACTCTATTTATAATATTCGTGTTTATTAATTTTTGAAACAAGTAATGGGAATATTAATCGAATTAAAATTAAAATTACTATAGATTCATAATACCACAAACTCAGTACAATGTTTCTACCCAAGAAACATGTAGGCAAGACATCGGAGATGCATCTCGAATTTACTCCAGAAATATTCACAGATGCATTTCCGAATTATTTTTTTCAGAAATGGAGTGACTACTTGATTTAATAAGGAATAAAAGTAACTTTAGAAATGTATGAGAATTAACCTCAGAAAAATTAACAGATCCAAACTATAATTTGACAAAAAATGGATTTTGGTTGCCTTGATCTAAATCATGTCTAAGGTGATTCAAATCAGTATGTAGGTTATTTGAATTATATCAAAGGTGGTTTGAATCAGCTACATTAGATTGTTCATGTGATTCAAATTATGTGTACAATAATTCGAATCATATTGTTTTGACAAGCATAAACATTGAATCAAATCTTGATTTATTCATGTGAAATGTAGATATAGATGTTAAAATATAGTATAATTATCACTAAAAAATTGTTTTTGTATCTCACATTATGTCCAAAAGACTAAGCAAATGCCAAACAAGAAATTTAGTACATGAAGTTTAGCTCGATAGTCAATTTAAGCATTAAAAATGGAAAGAATTAGAATCTGGAATAAACATAAAAATTGGCTCCTAAGGATTAATCAATATCATGTTGGAGACAAATTAGTACAACACATACTAAGTAATAGAGCAGAACCATGATTATGAGGCCGCAGCAGATGATCTTTGAGTCTTTAACCCAAACAGATTCTCAAATAGCATTGGAGCCATGGGAGGAATATTCGCAGGTCGAGGAGCCATAAAGTTTACTATTTTTTCATGAACATTATACCTTCAATAACCAGTCATAAATGAAAGATATAAGAACAAGGGTATAAAAAGAAATTTAGTTGTGATGATTCTGTGTACCTTATCTTGCGACTTTTTGAGGCACGACGATCCACGATTTTTCTCTTTTTTGTTTGCATCCTTTTCAAAGCATAAAATGCTTTCTCTGTTCAAATGAAAATAGGCGGAAATGAGAAAATGGACTTTTCAATTAATAAGAAATATTGAACTAGATAAAGTATCAGATGATACTAAAATTAATCAGCCGAAACGAAATTGTTACCAGATGATGTAGGATCCACTGTCTCGAAAAATTCTTTCAATAATTGCTGATAAAATTCAGAATCGTCCAGCAGTTCAGGATCACCGTCAGCTTGTGTTTCCTGAGCACAATTAATTCAAAACTAAGATGTTAAAAAACCGAAATGAAAATAGGTTTTATCGGTTGAACACCTAGCAAATAAGTTACTACAACCAACACACAGACACTCGTAATGTATAAGGCTTACCGCTTCAGTAGTGCTATCGCTAATCTTTGAAACCTGGAGACATATGCCAGTAAGTGTCCGATGAAAGATAGATAAATCAGTTTCTCACTGTTTAGAACCAACTAAAGATAAAACCGACTTACGGATCCAAATACGTTAACAGCTGATTTTCTCAGTTGCATCTGCTTGACCATTCTACTAGGATCTCTCATATAGCCAGCAACTTGATTGCTGATATCCTGCAACATGGACAACAAATTAGAAGTTAAATATTTGGTGTCACACTTGAATTCGCATTCCAGTCACAGAACCTCACCTGATTAAAAGCGTGTTTGCCTTTAATTGCAGCAACACCGGTTGTCACTTGCGTAATCCTCTGCCATTTGTTGATAGACTTGTCTCTGAAAGATGCTATACTGCAAGATACAATCATGAAGAGCATCAGCCAAGCAGACATGCAAATAGAAGAACAGCCCGTGCTTAAGATAGAAATGCAGCTAAACTTAAGTTCAAAAGATGTTGTTTGGAGAAGTATTAAGCATAATAGACACGAAGATCGGGTTTATGAAACAAAACTATATATCAATGCTGTTATGTCACGAGAAATTAGCACAAAAATTGTGCACTTAGAATGCTATGAAAATACCTGTTGTGCATCCGAGAAATTTGTGACCACTCTTGGTCATTGTCTTCCAAAACATTAGAAACTTCTTTTGATGACTTTTCTGAACCTTTTAAAAGAAACAAATATTTGGTTGGTTATTTTGGAAGTTATAAGTCACACATTAGAACTCTCATCTCCAGCACAAATCAATGTTTCCCACTCGGTCAAAAAATAGAAAGGAAAAATAGATAGAGTTTATCATATTTTGAGCTACAATTAACTAGAGAAATAAAGAACACTTGGCCAGTTCTCAATTCCCTCAAACAACTATATCATGAACCAACTGTGGTACTAGTAATACCACTGCTTACAGAGAATAATATATACATGACCCTCAATAATAACTACAAAGATATGTCGCAAACATCAAACATAACAAGGTCAATAGCACAAAGTTTAACAAGAAAGAAAAATCTAGAATAAACGAGAATGGGAAAAGAACATGAAGAAATCACCATTAACAGCTTGGGTTACTGACGGATTCTTTGCAATCAGAGCCTGGAACAAGAAAAAATGCTGCGATTAATGAATATTTTACATATAGTGAGAAGTATTGACTGATAAAATTAGAGAAGATAGAACATATTAATGACAACATAACAATTTTTTTCCATTCAAGTTTTAACACAGCACACACCTCTTGCAGTTCCAATATAGAATCCAAAGTCTCCTTGGACGAAGTTATCAAATCTGCATATGCAACTCTAACTGTCTCATCCGATTCACAGAATGAAGCTTTTACTGATTCCTGGAGACAAATTACCATATTTGGCTATGACATTAGTTACGATAAAATAGCAAATCACATGAAATCGCAAAAACGGGGTAGGAAAATACCTCAGGTAGCCTGTTAGAACTTGAGAATGGCTTCTGAAGTAAGAATCTAAGCTCGAGAATTTTGTACCAGAGGGCCTTCAGCCAAAACAAATTTTGATTATATTATTACAAATTCAAAATGGAAACCAATAAATAATAAAATAGCAATCATGACAGCTACAATTAATGAAACAGAAAGTACACCTTCTGACTTTTCACAGCTTGTCCTTTCAGAAGATCTGTATCCTTATGGTGCTTCAAGTTCTTCAAAATGTTTCTGAGGTTAGGAAAAGATAAAACTCTCATTCTCATTTCAGAATTCACAAAAACTTGCATAGATTAGACAATGGAAATTGTACAATAAGCTCACTGTAACTCAATTCCTCCATAGAAACAACTGTAACAACAATTAGTATGATGATTCAAGAGCCATCAGGTTGATAGAAGGCCGCATTTCTTACATTAACATGCTGCATAACTCTGAAACTTTGAATCTAGTAATAAATAAAATCCCAGACTAGAAAGCTCCCTCTTCCACAATATCAGGGTCAAAGGAAAGGTTGGACCCATTATGGGTCTTTTGTATGGTATAAAGCAGTGACACAGACATGTATCGACACCAGTCACGACACTGATAGTGACACATAGATACCAAGAATAACTAAATAAAAAGAAAGTAATTGAACGTAACCATATGTCGGTGTCAAACACCAAGATGTGTCGTGCCAGACTCTCTTTTAATCTTAAGTGTCGATACTAATATTATATAGATTGTAGGCAGTCTTACCTTTAGTTTTCAAATGCAACTATGAATTTACACTAGCTAACTATGAAGCATCAACACCAGTGTAGTCAATGGCAGTGTTGTCAAATTGCGGCCATGGCGGCGCCATGGCGGATTGCGGTTGCAGATTTTCAACATAGCGCCATGGAAAAGCCATGGCGTTGCGGATTTTGCATTGTGGCCGCCACGAGTTTAACGTGCATGGCGGAACGGCGGAAGTTGCGTTTTTTTTTTCAAAAATTATAAAATTGTTGTCTGGTATTTTTTTACCGAGCAGTAAACAGGCCCAAAAGAATTATAACTGTAGCTAAATACTAATAACCACCATTAAATACTCTAATTAAATATTTATAAAACCAAAACCCTACAACCTTTCCATTCATCATAGACTTTTCTTCTCCCTCAGTCTCTCTTCACTTCTCCCGCTTCTCCACAGACTTTTCTTCTCCATCTGTTTCTCTTATCTTCTTACACAACTATCATGTACTCTTCTTCTTCAGTTTATTTCCTCATTTTTTATTTCTTTTCATTTTTATTCCTTCCCAAACTACTCTCTTTTCTGTTCTACTTTGTTGGTTTTTCCTTTTTTTTCTCCTGCTCTGTTTTTTAGTGCTGTATTTATCTCTTTTTAAGTGCTCTGTTTTTCTTTTATTTTCTACTTTGTGTAGTTTTAGACAGTGCTTGAAAATCAGGAAACCTCCCTAACCTCTAGGGGTGCGGTTCAAAGAGAAGTTAACGGATATAAAAACTCTACTCACTGTATTTTTATGCACAAAATTGATTAATAGAGAAATCATAAGAGCCAAAGATAATCTAATGGGAAAGAAGTGCAACGTTCAAGCTTGCACCAAATGTTCATGCCAAATAACTCTAAAGAAGATTATGTTCAAGTTTGCACCAAATGTTCATGCCAAATAACTCTAATGAAGATTATGTTCAAGCTTGCACCAAATGTTCATGCCAAATAATGTTTTATAGTTCTGTTTTACAATGTCTTTTATGAATGAAATGTTTGAAGGTACTTAAGACATGCCACATCTATTTTATTTACCTTATATATGAATTCTAGTTTCCTCCATTTATGACTTCTGATTTTTTATTATTTTGTGCTATTACTGTTTTTTGTGAGTATAAATAATGTTTTTTGTTTGTCCACCATGCTTCCGCAATTTTCAGTTCCGCCATCCGCCATATTTTTATGGCGGATTATTGGCTCACCGCAATTTTCCGCAATCCGCCATAGACAACACTGGTTGATGGTGGATGGTTGAGAGCCAAAATCCAGCCATACCAGCCGCTTTGTGGCACCGTTATAGCGGAAAAACCCACAATATCGGCCGATATTTACAATAGCGGTGAGCACAAAAACCGCGATGTATATCCGCCATAGCAACCAGGTGCCGCTATTTGATAGCACTGATCAACACTTCAGATAAAAATGGTTTCCGGTGTCCAACATGTGCCAGTGTCTGACGCCAACACGAGTTACATTCAATCCTTCCATTTTTTTCTAAATTATTACGGTTTCTACATGTCAATGTGTGATGGCATGATGCCCGTGTTATTATCAGTGTTTTCGAGCTAGCTAACAACAGAAATTAAACTGACTGCAACAACACAAACCTATAAAATCACCGGACAACAAATCACTGGTAATAATTTTAAAAAAAATTAATTAAAAGTAATCATAACCGACGGTGTCATGTCGGTATCGGTTCAGAGGTGCCGGTGCTTCAGAGAAAAGCAAACAAAACAAAAAAGTGTGAATTAGTATATAATCTTACAGCTCCCGCTCCTCCTGTTGATGAAGATCCCTATACTCTTTCTCAAGCTCTTCCATCTCATCATGGTTCCATTCACTTTCCTTTACATTCCCGTCTTCTTCTTCACCTTCTTCTTCCTCATCCTCTCCTTCTTCTTCTTCTTCTACTTCCTCCATCTCCTCCAACTCGCTATCATTATTAACCTAAAAAAAAAAAAACCACCCATAAACAAAATTCACGAAACAACTAACCCTAAACAAAAAAAAAAGAAAAACTTTACAACAATGAATAAACATTTACCTCCTCCTCGGACATAACATCATCGTATTCATCAGAATCAGTGTCACTTTTTTGCACTATTCTAGATTTCTTGGAAGATGAACCCATTTCAAAAGCCAAATTGAAATTTCTTGGTAAGAATGAAGAAAAGATAACGCTGATTAGGGTTCAGAGTAGAAGAGAAAAAATGGTTAAACCTGCTTCGCAGAGAAAGGGGCGTGGCTGCGTTGGAATGGAAGGGTTTTAGAGTTCAGAATTGTTTTTCTCTGACTAAATGTTCAAACGACGCCGTTTTAACATTATAAAATCATAAACCGAACTATCCAAAAACTGTGCCTTAGGCGGGGATTTGAACCAAGGTTCATTAGCATATATATCAAATACCTAACCAAATTGTGCCGAGTCATTCAAATTGTCGCATTGAACTTGAAAAATAATAATATGTATATTTATTTTTAAAATATAATAAAAATAAAATGAAATTTTTTTTAAAAAGATAATAAATCGGTGTCTATAATTTTTTCAATATATAAAAATATGTGAATAATATATTTTTTATATGAATATTATTTTTGTTTTGGAATAGTTCGTAAAAAATATTTAAATCAATAGTAAAGTTATATTAATATTTGATATTTTGATCAGTAATTGTTAAATTGTAATTCAATTGTGTCGAAACAGTGTGTGTCGAAGGGAGGTTGCTCAGTCCAAGAGTTTGTGGATCGAAGCAAGCTACACACATATTTAATTGGTTTTAGATTTAGATAAATTTGATTTAGATCTAAAATACATAGATTTGATTTAGTACCAAAATAGGTATTTTGGACTTTTATAGTTTTGAGTTTTGCCTTAGGGAGCAAGCTAACCTAAATCAATAGAGTGAGTAACCCTTAATTTTGTAATTAAGTCAATTCATTGTAATCACATTTACAATTGCAAGTGATTAATAAAGTTTTCTACAGTTTGTGGACAGAGAGAAACTCTGCAGAAAATAATTGTCTTCTTTCTTTTCTTTTCTCATAATTCGTTGTCATTGTGTGTGATATCAATCTTGTTCATCAAGATTAATAGAAATTCATCATAGATATTTGGTGGATTTCCAACATCTAATATCAAAAGCTCAGTTAATCGATTCAATGGAAGTATCGATCAAGAACGATTGAGGAAGAAGAAGAATTCACGATGGCGAGTTATAGGAATGCAAATTATCCAGCAACTATACCAATTCTGAAAATAGACAACTATGAGAATTGGTGCAAACAGATGAAAGTTTTATTCAGGTGTCAAGGTCTTTGAGATCTTGTAAATGATAGATTGGAAGCGCTTGGAGAAAACGCTTCAGAAGAAGAAAAAAAGAAACACACAGAATCTGAGAAGCTGAGTTATAAAGTACTCTTTATAGTTCATCAATGTCTGAATCTGGAAAATTTTGAAAAAGTGAGTGATTCAGAATCTGCAAAAGAAGTTTGAGAGGTTCTTGAGAAGTCTTTTGATGGTGTAAAAAAGGTGAAAGAAGTGAGGTTATAAACTCACAAGAGAACGTATGAATTGCTTCAGATGGAAGATAGTGAGAGTATGATACGGTGGCAGAACTGACTGTTATACTGGTTTTGCGTTTGTATTCACAAATATTGCGGTAAGCAAGAGTCGCCACCGATTTTTCTTTTATCCAACAAAAGAAAGAGTGAAAAGAACAGAAAAATACCTTTCGAGAGTTTTCTGAGTAAGGGGATAGATTATGGAAAGGGAAGGTGTTAGCACCTTTTCCATTTGTAGTTATATACAGGCTCTTAGATGCTTAGCTCATTTTTGAAATACTGTGTGCTTTGTGTGTTTTTGAAAAGTATTTTTGAAAGTGCCTTAGTGCGGCCATTTGCTTTATGATAACTCTTGTATCAGTCCTCAAGAGTGTTGATAAAGTGTTTTTGTAAATATTTTTTGAAATATTTTTGTGTAGGTGTAAAAAGTTTGTTTTTGAGCATAGCATCTAGGAATTATCTACTCTACTCGAAAGGGTCTTTCTTTTCCTCCTTTTCTTTAGACAGTGATATCCTATTATTAGTGAGTAGGTAGCCCTAGTTGTTTGGATGTTTGAGGGACATTCGAAGGGATGTTTTATAGTCACAAAGACAATTGGGCAAGAAACCTTATTAACTACCCTATGGTTTTAAGATCATTTTTACCGAAGTAACATCGAGAGGGTCATCAAGGGACTTATGATCTTTTTTAAACCAAAGGATAGCCACTAAAGTCTCTCACGTTTCGAGTGTTATGACTATTTTTCCGAAAGGCAACCAAAGTGGGATACCCTAGAGGTGTATATGTGAGAGTGTGTTGTATTCAGTTATTTTTATCTTATGTTAGGTTTGCTAGTGTTTGATTATTATATTTTTGTCATACAATCCTATTAGTCATGCATCTAGACAGTTAATAGTTTGCAGTAATTAAAAGTGAGGAAAGATAAATCCTAAATTATTACAAGGTTTCGGGAAGGGGGTTAATTACATGTCCAAAATGGGGAATAAAGCAAAAAAAGTAAAATCCCTAGTTATTTTATTACATCCAGTAAGCAGTTACAATACTATGAAAAATAGAATGCGAAAGATAATAACACGCGTGAATTGAAAGGACGTCTAAAAAATCCTAAGAGAAAATATTTTGTTTGTTTTTTTTTTTAATTTATGAAAATGCTTTAAGTTAAAAAATAATTGATCTAGATCTATATTTAAAGAAAAAATGTTAATTATTAAAGAAACATGAAATTTAAAGAAAATAAATTCATTCTATTTTTTTGGTATTTTTGTTATGAAAAGGAAAATGAATTAAAATGAAATTAAACCTAAGTTTTATTAATTCTAATTTTAAAAAAATGTTAAAGTGATTAGTTAATTAATTTACAAAAATTAAAATTTAATTAAGAAAAATCCTAAATCTATTTTTATGTGATTTTTATATTTTTTTATTGATTAAAATAAAATAAAAGGAATTAAAAGAAATAAATAAAATGAATAAAACAAGAAAATAAAGATGAGCCTAGTAGCAAAAGTAAACAGGGGGTGCAATCATCAGAAATCCCTAGGCCCGAATCTTTGAAAGCTTCATGCCATAACCATGGTGTTTTCAGATTATTGTGTAGAACCTCTGATTTAACCATCCATAATTGTTCTATATAAACTCAAACAAACGTTAGCATACCATGAAATGTGATTAAAATTAGAGATTCGAAGTTTAAAATTTTACCAAACCGGTGTTGTCAAATGGGGGCGTGTTAGGCGTGTGATGGACTGCTCTTGGGCCTTGTATGACTCCTGGGGACTTCAGGATGACGGTTTAAGGCTTGGTGTCAATCGAAAGAGATCGAAACCTTGAGATATGACTTGCACCAATTCTTTGATTTTTGGGGAGCTTTTTGGAGAGTAATTTTGTGCTCCCTTTGGCTTGTAATGTTATGTATTTATAGAGGGAAGATAGGAATGAACAAACATGGTAAAGAATCAATGCATTCATGGCCTTGGAGGCAAGGATAAAACACATTGAAAAATGTCCATATTTGTGATATCTTTGCCTCTTTAGTCACTTGCATGAACCTGGTCCCTTTGGATGTATCTTGCACGAAATCATGGGCCTTCTAATAGATCAAATCAAACACAAATGTCATGGTCCATTATTCTTTGTATTTTTATTTAATTTATTTGATTTAATTCATATTTAAATGAATAAAAATTCAAATAAATAGAAATAAAAATCAAAATAGTGCATGGTTAGATTTAGAGGTCCTTGGGTATGTCATAAACATGTTTGAACCCTAAAAGTTAGGTCCATTAACCTAAAAATGCAATTTTGCTCAAAGTTGACTTCATGCATTTTTCACAAATTTACCCAACTTGTGCAAACTATAACTTGCTCAATTTTAACTTTTTTAAGATGATCTTGGACTTTTTGGAAATCCAAAGATGTCCTCTACAATCTATATGTTTATCATTTTTTTCTTTTGAAGACATTATCTTGATGTAAGTTGTCTTGACAAAAAGTGTCTTTTGTTGACTTTTTGAAAATGATTTGTATTGTATGAGCTCATATCTTCCAAATGATGCATTTCTTGAGCTTGAGGATAAAAGATAAGTTGTAGGGAATTGGATTATCTTCAAAATGAGATTTGGTTTGGGTAAAATGGATGAAGTATATGAAAGTTATGTCTGGTCAAACTTTAGTTGACTTTTCCTATAGAAATCCTAATTTAGCAATTCTTGACTTTTGATAAATTAAGAGCATTCCTTGAGGAATCATAGAATTTTTTTTATTAATAACCATGTATTAAAAAAATATTTCGTAAATAACCGGGTTTCGGAAAAAATTACGCAAATAACCATGTTTGAGATGGCTCCACAAAGGAGGAGCCATCTCAATTGGCGCATGCACCTCCTTTTTTAAGGGAGGCGCCATCTCACTTGGCGCCTAAGTGCTTAGGGCATGCCCTAAGCCAAGTGAGATGGCGCCTATGTACAAATTTAGGGCAAAAAAAATTTTTTTTTATTTTCTTTCCTGTGCGTTGCCTATTAGACAGAGATCAACAAAATGGATTTTTTATTTAAAAAAAAATAATTACATTCAACTGTTTTACATTAAAAGAACAGTAAAAAAAATGGATACAAAAAATATTGGGAAAAAAAAAGATACATCAGTGATCCCCCGGAATCCGGTAATGACCCCCGGTTCCGCATCCCCGTCCTCGCCTTTCTCTTGCTGGGTGCCGTCGCGTTTCCTGCTGCGGCAAGGTCGATGGCCCAGCGAAGTCAATGCGATCCGAATCCATAAAATCAGTAAGATCTCTATATCTCGAAGATCCGCTCTGGTACAGTCGGTTACCCATACCCTCAAAGTTTGGTCGTGTTGGCGGTGGGTGGGGTTCCATGGTTGGTCGGTAGCATTGGTCGTCTGAGTATGGGGGGTAGAAAGAAAATGGATCTTGGGGTGTTTGGTATTGTGGATGTTGGGTTGTTTGGTGATATGGTGGTTGATGGTAGGTTTGGTCGGCTTGGTCATAATCTTCTGACATTCCCATATCAGGGCTAAGGTTGGATGTTGAGGGCGCCATATTGGGATATGTG